AAAAAAAAAAAACGACTAGAGGAGGGAGGAGGCTGGAGGAAGACAATGAACCCACAGGAGAGCAAATGAGCACTATGTGGGACCTAGCTTGGGGATGGGGTGTGGTCACAATGTCTATCAGGGGGAAGATGTAGAAAGAGCCATACAAGTACAATCACTGGTGAATTTTTATGGAACGGCCTTGGCTGCCAGGAGAAATTAGCCAGCCACCCACCAACAAAACTTTATACGTTTTAGTTAGGATTGGCTGAAGGGTGACGGTTTCAGAGAGGAATGAAGTTTCCACCGTGGTCCCTCTTAGGCCAGGCCTCTAGGGCTGATTTTTTCAACTCTGAGGGCAGCGCTCAAGGCCCATGCTGGAGCTGCCACCCCTGGGGAGGCGGCACCGCCCTTCTGGCGCCCGCCCGTTTGGAGCCTGGAACGGCGTGAGCGTGGCCTCGGAGACGCGGTTCACTGGTCGTTCCGGTCCGGTCGGGACGGCGGGGCGACCGGGAGGGGTGCGAGGGAAGGCAGGGGAGGGGCAGAGGGGCCTGGGCCGGCTATGGATCTGTACCTCAGCGCCTGCTCCAAGGCTGCCAACGACGCCGCCGCCAGGACGGCCAGCAGCGGCCTGTCGGCGGACAGCGAGCAGTGTAGAGACGTGAGTGGCCGCAAGCCTGGTGGGGAGAGCGGGGCCGAGCTCGCCACACATGCGTCCCTGGCTCTTAACCGTCCGGCTTCTGCTCCCTCGTGCCGCGCAGTAATGGCGGCGGCTCCCGTGTGGGGCCGCAACTGGCTGTGGCGCGACGTGGGGAGCGGCGACCTGGGCAGCGGGAAGACTTCAGGGTGTGCCACAGACCAGGCCCCTTCTACCCTGACCGTGTGACTTTTGCGTTTCTTCCTCTGGAGTGGGAGTGGATTGGCCCCAACAAGTACTACGTAAAAGTAAAGGCAAAACTCCGATTGTATTTGACAGGCCGTGCACAAAAACCACTTTGCAGGGGTCGGACCGGGTCACCTACTGGATCTGCCTCTTGGGGTCAAGCTGCCTGTGATCCCAGGAAGTGATACTGTATTCTTTACTACGAATTTAAGTGAAAAGGTAAACTAATTTTTATTGTCTGACATTAGTTTCTTTACCCATTACTACTTGCTGTTAAATTCAGAGGCTACATTATACAAAGTCCATTTAAGGGAATTTGCACTAACATTCACAGAAAAAAAATAATCCAATCCACACCTAACTCATGGTATTGTTTAGAATGTATATGAAGCAGTTTCATCTAATATGGTTTGGACAGAATCATGGGCTAGAAAGTTAAGATTCTCAGTCCTTTCTTAATTTATTATTTATGGAAGTATATTAACAGTTTTTATAATAAAACTTTATATATAGCTACTTAGTGAGTTTTGATTTACTTAAAAACATGTTTGAAAGGTGAAAGATTATCAATATTGGCTCCCATTTAATTATGTGTTAGGAGTTTAATCAATAGTAACTTGGACTAGACTCTCAACATACCGTCTATGATTTTGTTTTGAGCTGAATTCCACTCACAGGGTGAGCAAAAAAGTGGAGCGGAAAAAAAGTGAAGTTAAAATCAGTTATATGTTTAGTACTTTAACATCACTTTAATGAAAGAGGGTCATGCTTCCATGAGAAGGAGATGCCATAATTTGCCCCAGCCTCCTCATCCAGTGTTTTCTCCAACCAGAGCCTCAGCTACTTCCAGCTGATGTATTTTATAGCTACCCATGCTAATACTTCTGTGCTTTTCTCTGCCTTGCCCCCAAACCTGGTATACCCTGTCCTCTTCTCTCCAATCTATGAATCTGATCCAGCCTTCAAGGGGCTGAACTATTATAGCCACCCGATTAGCTTATCTTTGCTTACGATTCACATTACCCTTGGTTTGTATTATCTCACTCGACACTTAATCATACTGGATTATAGTGTGTACTTCCCTCAAACCTTTCCATGTTTTTACTCCTCAATGCTACCCCTAGCCCCAAACCACCCTAGCCCTTGACTAAGTAGCCAACACTGAAGGAGGTTTAGTACATTCTTGGTGAGTGGTTGCTTTGATAAATATTGCAAAAAGTTCCACAAGGAAGAATTCTAAATGATCCACTTACTCTTCTACTGTCTATGATGTCATCAATAAGTAAGACCCCTTGGTATTTGATACTTGCCTAATATCTTAGTCAGTTCAGGCCATTATAACAAAGTACCAAAGACTGGGTGGCTTAAAAACAACAGAAATTTACTTATCACTGTTTTAGAGACTAGAAGTCTAAGAGGAGGGTGCCAGCCTGCTTAGGTTCTGGAGAGGGCCCTCTGCAGTGTTCTCATTGCATCCTTGCATGGTGAAAAGAAAGCTAGAGTTCTCTGTGGTCTCTTTTATAGGGGCATATTCCCATTCATGAGGGCTCCACCTTTACAACTTAATTAGGCCCCACCTAATTAATGCCATCACATGAAAGATTAGAATTGCAATATATAAATTTTGAATTTTAGGTGAATTCAGTCTGTAACACCTAATAAACATGATTTCTTAAAGGAAGTGTTATTTCTAGAAAAAATATAATTTCCCTTTTTGAAAACAAATCTGTTCTACTAGAATGAAACAAGCTCACTAAAAATATGCCAACCTCACACAATTTGAGTG